AGATGCTACAAATTCCTTTAATAAAGCAGAGAAAGTTGCAGGCTGCCTACGTAGCATGGTCTCGAAACGGCTTCAACTTTAGTCGCTGTTTTTAGGGTATAATGTGCTTTTTTTTTTCTTTTTTTGCTGGAGGTGATGACTTGAATGCAGTAACAGCCTGGCTGTCTGAGAAACCTGATGTGGGAATAACTTACTTAATGCCGCAGCTGCCTGTAAAAACAAACAAACAACAAAAAGCAGCCTGTGCCCTTATTTTGTGTGGCTCCTCTTGTGAAGGAGCACAGAGCACCCATCCGAGCCGAAAACACCCCGACGAGGCAGAAGCTAAACCTCCCGGCTTCCTGAGCTGGGAGGGATGGAAAGACTGGCCACGACAACAAAACCATTGCCATGCAGGAAGGGCTGGGCTTTCCCCGACGGCTCAACCAGCCTGATGGCTCCTTGCCCACCGAGCAGGCCGGCTCGCTTCCCTCCCCTTCAGCTCCCACTCCCACGCTCCCTTCCGCTAGCTGTGGCTCCCCTCAGACCTCCTTCTGCGCAGGAATTCAGCTGCCTGACTCTGCAGGAAGCTATCCAATTCTTGGATTTCTTTATTTTTAATTTTTTTTTTTGGTGGGGTTTAGTGAGTGAAATTAGCTGAGAGGGCTCTGCTAAGGAAGGGGCATCTCCCCTTTTTTTTGGCAGCGCTGAGCTATTGGGGAAATTGCAGCCTAAAATGCATTTCATCCTCTCAAAACAGGTGCCTGGAAAAAAAAAAACTAGCACTAATGCGGGGGAAAAAAAAAAAAGCACTAATAAACACTTCAAGGGTCTAAAATCATCGTTCCACACGCAGGAAGCCATCACCAAGCTCGCTTCCAGATTTAAAAGCTGATGATGCTGAAAAACCAAATCCAGCTTGTGCTTTTTTGGCTCATCACTGCAGGACAGTAATCCCACCGGATCTCCATCCCACACAGAAGCCCAGAAATCTGGGAAAGCCTAAGGAGTGATCCTGACCTGGCCAAAGGCACTGACTCCTTTGTCCGTCCGCCCACAGCGGTGGTAGTTGGAGGTCTGTCTGTCATCTACCAGCCGCGTCTTCTTCAAGGCTTCAAAGAGTTTCTCTTCGATGGTGTTACTGGTGTTCTCCTGGCTGGCAAAACCCTGGTAACCCCAGCCCAAGTAGGCAATCTTCAGGGCTACGTGTCTGCGGCCGTAGGCGCCAAAATCGAACGGCCGTTGTTGGCGTTTCTTCACTTTTCCGGGGGCCGAAGGAACCTCTTTTCTCCCAGCGCCTTCCTTGTCCTCTTGGAGCTTCTCCTCCAGCCGCTTCACCTCCTCTTCCAGCTCCTGCACCCTCCTCAGGAGTCGTTCTTGGTCGACGACCGCGCTCCCCTCAGCCATAGCCGCTGTCTTGGAGCCTTAATTGCTGGTAGCTCCTCAGGATCTGTGGAGAAAGGAAATTGGAGGATTTGCACTTTTATGTGGCTTTTATTACACCTATAGGCTTACTCTGTAAAATGTTACCCACGGAATAATCCTTTTTTTTTTTTTTAACCCCTCAGTGTTCCTAGCAGAGCGTGGGAAGGGCCAAGGAGGCTTCGCTTGGACAGCTTCATCTTACTCAAGTCTTTTTTTTTTAACACTTTTTTTAATCACTGCTCTTCCCCCAGCCGCCGCTGCACGATCAGATCTGCTCCGTCAGCCCAGGCGTAGCAGCAGCACGTTCCCGGCTAGCCTTTTGCTATCCGCACGGAACCGTCATGGAGCCCTTTCCATTTTCGCACCACGCTCAGCCAGCATCAACACTTCAGACAGCCCGCTAACGCCTGCCATTCATCTCACCGCGCCATCTGCTCCAACATTTCATAACAGCATGGTTAAAACTTGCATTTATTTTTTTTTCAAACCCACTTTGCGGTGTAAAGATATCCTAAACCTGTTCTGTGAGCGGAAACCGTGTCCAGATTCCTTTTTCGCAGCAGGACGTGAGGTTTACTACAACCAGATTCAGCCTTTGAGCTATGACAGCCAACATCTAAACACGCTGCGCTGAGCCTTCTCCTCCTCTGCGGAAGTAAAATACTCGCTCAGACGTCCCTAGATTAAATCACAAACCAGTTACCGTGGTTTTTAAAAGAAGAGGTACAAGGGGAAAATCATTAATACTGCTGGCATTTATGAAGCGAACTGAATCTGCCCTGTGTTTGTCCATCATCCCATTAGTATCTGATATATCACATAATTAATTTCAGCGTAGTTTTTTGAGGAGGAATTTAGGGGTTACCTCGGAGAGGGCTTTAGTTTCCATTTGCTGTAGGGACAGGGCCTTCTGCTGGCAGCAGGAGGTTTAGCAGCGCAGCCAGGGGGGCTCAGAGATCCCCATCTGATTAACCACAACCCAAAGCAACCCCCTCGAACCTGCCAAGTTGAGGGTCCCAGCCCCCTTTTACATCTTTAGCCAGCTCGAATGTGCTCCAAGAAATTAATTCTGTTTTTTTTTTTTTGCAGAATCTACCTAGTTTGGTGGAAATCATGAAGGAGATGATGGGACCGGACGGATATAGATGGGCCGCTCCCGATGGTGAGGAGCAGGAGGTGACCGTACCGGCCCCGAGCCAGCTGTACGCCCAGCAAGGAGGCAGCAAGGAGCAGGCACGTCCCCGTAACGATCCCTACGCTGAGGCCTCCTTCGTTTTGGGGGTACAGCCAGGCCTTCCTACGTTTTTCGAGAATGGGAGGAGAACCAGGAGGTTGATAATGAAAAGGAAGGTGCTGAGGCACAGACCCGACGGAGGAGTAGAGGTCTCCGATGAGTCAATGAGCAGCGACCCGGGAAACGATGTTGCAGTTTGGAGCCTGAGGCAGAAAACCCTTCCTCTACAGGCCAGTCAGGAAGACAGCATCTCCGAGGGGGAAATCGAGACAAGCAGGAGCTCCCTCAACGAATCCCCTTCCTGCTGGCCCCATGGGGACAGTCCCCCCTTTCTCCTCAAGGATTTCGGGAGCTGGAGCTCTTCCGCTTCTCGTTCCGTCGCTCCGGCGAGACAACCCACGTCCTTCATTGTTCCGTGGTTGGGTCATAACCAGGGGAAAATCGACCGAGTGGCCAGATATTTGGCATATAAAAAAGAATGGGAGAAACTCCAAATCCCGGGGGAGGATCAGCGACTCAAACTGCGCTGGAGCACCCGGAAACGGATGCTTTGCAAGCCTGAACTCCCCAACAAGCCGCAGCACCTCTACGTCTCCAACACTTACGTCGTACCGACCAAAAAGAAGTGAGCTGCCCTACGCTGAGAAGTGCACTGGGATTTGGCCAACGGCCTCATCCCTAGAAAAAACACCTCTTCCTAGTTTCCCAAAGCCCCGCTCCACGCAAACGATCTCTTAATCGTACACGTGCCGCTCTCCCGATTGTGGATAATCCTTTATGAGTTGGAAAAATCCCCCCCTTTTTTTTTTTTTTGCATTTCAAGCGAGTTAAATTCCAGTATTAAAATTTTACTTTGCGCCTCGGATAGTTAAACTGGGTAAAATACCCTACCCCGGTACAAAGCTGCTTTCTGAGTCAAGATTAGAAGGTACGGGGAGCAGGCACTGAAAAACCACGCAGCCTGTCAGATTTTTCAAATATCAGGAGAAATAAGAATGTTAACAAGCCCAGTGATTTTTAATTGTTTTTTTTTTTTGGCATGTAATTGCACCGGATTGTTGCGTGAGCTATTAAGGAGGTTTTATTTACGGCGTCTTGGTAATATTTTTGTTTAAATAAAGCCTGTGAAAAGATTTGCTATGGCTCTGTAGGTTAATTAAAAACACCTCATTTTGGATTTATCCTTGCACCACCAAACCCTCGGCTCCCCTTCCTTTTTAAAATAAATGAGCTTTATGAGGAAGTGAAGAGAATATTATTGTTGTTTTGTTCTGTGGTGTGTTTTTTTTTTTTTCTAGGTATCGGGACAGAATGAAAATTTGGCAGTTCCTGTGTGGCCAAACGCCTTGAAGCTGCTCTGGGGTAAGAGGCTGCTTGGCCCCACGGAAAAGGTCCCCAAAACCTCGGCGGTAAGGATGGAAAAGGGGGTGGGAAGGACGGGAAGCAGGTGAGGGCTGTGGCCCAGAGCCCCGTGTCGGGCTCCCCCCTGGAAACCTGTGGAGGGGAGCAGTGGGGTGACCCCGGATGGGGGATGAGGGGTCTCGGGGGGGACACAAGCACTTTTGGACAACCTGGGGACCCTGCTCGTCACCCCATGCTGAGGGGGAGGTCTGGCACCCCAGGGACCTTGCAGGGTGTGTGGGGGGCTCCCTGTCTCTCCAGCACCCTGTGGACACCCCCACCCACCTACCTGTGGAGGGGAGCAGTGGGGTGACCCCGGATGGGGGATGAGGGGTCTCGGGGGGGACACAAGCACTTTTGGACAACCTGGGGACCCTGCTCGTCACCCCATGCTGAGGGGGAGGTCTGGCACCCCAGGGACCTTGCAGGGTGTGTGGGGGGCTCCCTGTCTCTCCAGCACCCTGTGGACACCCCCACCCACCT